TCATTCAGTGGGGGGAAATAACGCACACATACAAGTTTAATTATGATTACATCGCGTTCTACCTTATCTTCATTTTGGGTCTCGTGGAGACCACAGTCTATTGATCAGATCAAACATGACGGGCGGTGCCAGCAAGACGATCCACTCACGCAACTCTTACGGCTATTATTCTGGATTCGGCTTTCTAGTACAAGATGGAAAGGGTTAAAACACGCCCGAGTATGGCACAGGTGTGACACTTCTAAAGACGGATTTAGCATTCCACCATGCACAACGAAACTAATTTGATGGACAGTACGAACTGCTCCATTCGGAGTTATCCTACAAGTCCCGTACCCTCTGCTTGTAGAACCACTCCAAACCCAACACCCATACTTGCCACAAACTATTCGTTTTTCCAAAATTTTGAGTTTTAGAGCAGATTTTTCGTTGGCTGAGAGATCGCTGATTGAGGTTGCCATATCTATTGCGCTCATACGCGAGTGCCCTACAAGAGTTTCAGTCTTGTAGTAGTAGCGGTGACAGTATTATGCAAATGCATGGGATCGACGTCTCAAATACTAGTGAAATTGTAGCAATAAGATAGACTGTCAATTATTCGATTTACGGAGATCGTATTACAAAAACATCGAAATACGAAAAATGACCACGCCCAAATATTTCATCACCACAGCAATAAGATAGCATTGCATTAGAAGGGAGGGGACATTTTGAAATTAAAACTGGGCGATTTGCACGAAACACTTTGTATATTGTTTGTTTATGAAAGCTTCCCTATCGTTATGTATATTAGTAAACACCACGGTTACATTGTTATACAAACAGGTTAACCAGTGTAACTGTAAATGTTTATTAGTTTGCATATGAGAAATGAACGATGAGAACTATAGTGCACCTGATATTGAGTGGTATAATCGAATGGAAAATGTTACCCGAGATAGAATGTTTCCGATGGACAATTATGACCATAGGTGAAACCCGTATTTTTAACATCAAAATAAGTTTGAAGGTTGCCCTCGTGTTTTATAACATTTTTCGTTTGAAAATTGTGGCATAGGTCTGCTTTCCAAATAAGAATTGCGTGCAAAATTGTTTACAAGACTCATTGAAGGATTTCAAATGTATAAGAAATGGAATAAATTTCTAAACCAAACACTATTACCCGACCCTCCTGCGTTTCCCAATTTGATTGCATATGCCCTCCCAAGTATATCTACAGTTATATCTAGAGTGGACGTTCACAAATTAATTGAGGGGTGAAAGTTAGTGTTAGGAGCAGAGGTGGGTGCAAAAGGTACTCTTTCCTGAGAAATTCCTTAAAATATATCACATATCTATATGTTTTCTCAAGAATCGTGATCAGTCATCATGACCATCGTATAATGACCCACAATAATCTATACTACATACCACATAACACACCCTTTATTGCTTTAAGTATTGTTGGTTTTATCAATGTAACGCGATTCCATCTGTTCCCTTTGATATATAATGAATAACGTTAAAAACATTTCGTTGCATGGACGTATTTAGCCAAGCAAATAGAAAACAACGTCATATCAACCATATGTTGACGTGACCAATTATTTTGATAACAAATACACGGTCATGATCGGTCAACCGTAGGACACTTTCGTGAACATCAACGTTAGGAGATGGACTTCATTTTCGTATAAAAGTGATTACTTGCAAATTTCTACAGGATGAGTGAACGAGTGTGTATTGATATTTGTTTTACTGATTTTCAAAATGCTCGTAAGTGCGTTATGCAATATTTGATCTTAATTTTTCCCGATCCTTATACGACGGCAACGATTGGTCACGGAGTTTTAAGTCCTAGTCGAACTCTTCTGATATGAAGCCCTCGCCGATCTATATTACAGAAAATCTCTCGTAGTCTTACTTCATCCTATGCACGGAGTAGCTGGTGTTCAATTTGATCAAGTCTAAAAGTAGCCCAGGTCCAGTTGACTCACTGTTAGACTGATAACTTTGTCTGGGTAATATTATAAAGGAAGCTAACTTTAGCAAATCGGAATTGTCACCACACACTCGACTCGACAAATTATAGTGATTCTTTTTTCATAAATTTGTTTTTTGGAGAAATTAAATAATGCATTTTTTTATCATTGCGTACCAAGGAATTGTTCTAAAAGAAGTGATTTTTATGACAAGTTTCTCAAAATACATTACTGTAACACACACAAGAATGTTATTTCAAGGTGCCATCTTAAAAATTATGTGTAGGCTCTACTATAACGCTTCGAGTTCGAGCCGAATTCAAAGTTCCACTACCAGCGGCGGCACGGGGAAGTGAGCGGCACTTGCGCCTACTGACTACCGAGCATGTTGCAGCACATATATATATATATATATATATATATATATATATATATATATATATATATATATATATATATATATATATATATATATATATATATATCATCTTTAATTCGGTTTGGACCTCGTTACTATCATAACGGGTTATTATTCATTTTATAAAAGCTAATTTTCTGCGCACTGTTGTGTGTGTGTTTGCAAATATGTTGATTTGAAAAAATAATATTTGATCATTTACTAGTAAACTAACGGTCCTGTGGAGTGGCTAAATTGAAAAGTAATTACGTGCTGGTGCACGGTCGCGACAACTTTTGTCTCTTGTCGTACACACGTGTAGATGTTGTGCTAAAAATAGGTCATCATCTAGGTGACGCAGACCAAAATAGAAATTTGCAACAGTGTTTAAATTGCGTTGAGAACGAACGCGAATGTATTAGACCATTTCAGAAATTATATGCCGTGGTTTCTGAAACCCAAGGTCATTCAATTATGTGTGCCGTTCTGAATGTAATCACGTGTGAAAGGTATACAACCATTATCCTTTCTAGAGTGGGTGACAAATTGAAGGCAAAATTATGTTTTTAATTGAATTTGCATTTATATATTTATTATGCGAAGAAAATAAAATGAACATATATACACATGAATAGTAGTAACATTATATTTTATTTTATTTATTTATTGAATACTCGTGTTCATTCTGATTTTTACGCAAATCGTTCCACCCAGTCAAATTCATGACAAGTGAGTCTTATTATTTCAAGATGGCTAGCAAAGGCAACGTACGCAAACTCATCAACGAAGTAAAAATAGGAATCAAGTGCCCATTTCTGAGCTTATTTGTAGAGGAGTATTTGTGCTTCACACGAGAACCTGGTGACATCATTACATCAAAGTAGCTGTTTTTTTCATTATGAAAATTTTATATCATTAATGACAAAAAATGATCGCCAGACACAGTCACCCTTCAAAACTTCCACTGGTGTTTACATTTTATAATTATATCATAAATTGTATCTCATTTGACATGTGGTATTTTACAGCAAATCAAGGTTACACTTGTCCATAATGGCATATCGCCAGTCACCTCGGGTGTTAAGCGAGGTTATCGCGGGTTGAATATGCAGCAACATCGGCTAAGAAGGGAACAATCCTCGATGTCTATTAAAGAAAAAAAAAGAACACTTTTTGAAACGAAAAAAATGGGATGAATATATACAGGTACAATGCGGAACGTAATTACAAAAAAATAAGCAGAGTTATTAAGCAAAATATATTAAACGTGGAGATCCACGTCTGTGGAAAGTTCACACCTTTATATTTAAATTTGACGAGTTCTCTCCTGATAATGAGGGAATATCTCAATCTAGAATAAAAGTCTTAGTATTTGTAATGGTTTAATGTTTTGTACATCCATAGTATAATGATTTAACATCTCACTATAATGAGATTATATATTGTTATGGGGTGCATGTTGCTATACTGAAATATAATTACTATGTCACATGTAGCTCATTTTAATCAATGCATAATCATTTGCAATTTCAAATATGTTTGCATAGCATAATTGACGAATCCTTCCTTGCTCTGTATATTCCTGAACGAGTTTGTCCCGAAATTATTTAGCATTTCTTTTCACCCATGTTTTCATTAAAATGAGTTACACTTTCATAACAAAATACTTTGTTTATTATAGGAGTTTCTATCTCGAATTCGAAATAGGAAATAAATGAGTAAATTAAACATGTTTTACGAATCAAATGCTATTATACATAGAGTGTTATCTCATGGAAAACTGACAACGAGTTATAATAATAATACATTATTTGTGTTAGAATATAGAGAGCTGCTAAGTTGTTCGAGTTACGGACATCGAAGTACGAACATCGAATTACAAAAAAAGTTACATTTTGGAAACCACACCCACTTTTGTGAGACCTCGTCCAAACTGTAACTCGATTAACTAGTCAACAGAATTCCGAGTTACAGGTAAAATACATTTTTAGTTGTTGAAGGTCCACATTTAGTAACGTCAACTTTAAGTAACAGTTAACCAAACATCGAGTTACAGGCATCATGATATTTTTTTAACGTTCAACTATTAGGTATGTTGCCCATAACGCGAAGTTTTGTTAACTGTTGATTGGCCATAGTTACAATTTGGGTGTGGTTTCGCAAAAAGGGGCGTGATATATAAAATATGGGCGTGGTAATATTTGTAACTCAATGTTTTCGTAACTCGATGCTCGTAACTCTAACAATTCAGTATATAGAATAGATATTTTGTTGTTTAATGTATTATGACGATAAGATTTGGTACATGATCTCCCCAGGGGATCACTGGTAAAACTCACGGAACATCGAGGCACCCAAGTGTTCTAGAAATTATGCTTCATAACAGGGTCCCTTTTCGACATTCTCAGAAATCAAAAAGAATGATATCTTTGCTAGCTATATATATTGTGTAATATGCGGCAATGATAGTTTAATTTAACAATTATTTGTAACTAGTATAGTGTACATGTAATAAAAGAGTGTTTTTATATCGAAAATATATTTCGAGGGCCGATTTTTGAATTTGATTTTTACTAAAAGACCCCCAGAATAGTCTAGTAAAATCAAAACAAAAAACAATATTTGTTTACATTGAAATTAAGGTTGAAGTCGTTAACAGAGATTTTAGAGAAGCGGGAAAGTGCGCCTTTGCAAAACGAGATATAAAAGCAAATGAGATAATTGGGGTGTACGACGGAGAAATAATTGACAGAGCAGAGGCTGAACAACTAGAACGACAGTATGCGGTAACAGGTGAACGTTGTGGCATGTATCACCTGGAATATTCCGGCATGGTGTGAGTATATAATCAGCCACAATATTTGCCATAATATTTTCTTAGTGTTAGTAGTTATATGTAACACTACTTTCATACAATTTAATGTAAAACTAATGAAATGAATTATGCACTTGCTGTCACACACTCGCTCTTATCAACTAGCTCGCTCACACACACACACGCACAATGGCAATTCACCCATTCTCACGCACTCGCTTACCCTCTCCCACCCCAATTCATTGAACTCAAACACTCCACCCACTGACACACACAAACTCGCACACAAACTCACTCACCCACCCATTTGATCATCCTCCAACAAACTCACTCACAACTAAATCTAATTCACCCACAACTCTTACATTATCAAGCCACCCTTTCATTAGGTCAACCGCAATTCACTCATTACTCTCAACTGATTGACTAAATGAGTGACTCATTGTTTAATAAATTCCTTTCTACTCACCCACTTAACAACGAAATAATTCAGTAACAATCAGACATATATTATTAACTCACCAACCAAATGACTTGCTGAGTGAAACATTGATTTCTCTCTGACTTGCCCACATTTCATTAACCCATTTTAACTCGCACACGCTATAACTTAACTGTCCCACCTTACCACTAGCTCACTGATTTGTCAACCCAAAGATAGCTTCATTCGCTCACTTAATCAACACTAAATCTAGTTAATTCACTCAGTCATATGTACATTATATCAACTTACTCATTACACACTTGCCAACTCAAGCACCCATTCGCTCACCAACAGATTGACTCACTGTTGTATATATAAACACATCCATCCAACCAACCACCCACCCATCCATTCACTGTCATACTCAAATGACGCATCAATTAACCCTTTCACTCACTCACACACACATCTTCACTCACTCACCCTCACCCACTCAGCTTTACTCCCTCAGCCTCACCTTCACTCACTTTCTCACCTTCACTCATCTTCATTCACTCACTCACTCACTCACTCACCTTCATTCACTCACTCTCACCCACTCACCTTCATGCTCACCTTCATTCACCCACCCTCACCTTCATTCACCCATCCTCAGCCTCACCTTCACTCACTCACCTCACCCACTCACTCACTCACCCTTACCTTCACTAACTTACCTTTACCTTCACTCACTCACTCCTTCACCCACTCACCCTCATCTTCATTTACTCACTCGCCCTCATCTTCAATCACTCGCCTTCTCAAACTCACTCTCACCTTCACTCACTCACTCGCTCACCTTCGCTCACTCACTCACCTTCATTCACTCACCCTTACCTTCACTCCCCCTTATCTTCACTCACTCTCATCCACACCTCCATTCACTCACCCTCGTCTTCACTCACTCACCTTCTCTAACTCACTCCCATCTTCACCCACTCACCTTCACTCACTCATCTTTACTCCCACTCACTCACCCTCAGCTTTACTTACTCACTCACCCTCAGTCTCATCTTCACTCACCCTCATTCACTCACTCACTCACCCTCATTCACTCACTCACCTTCAGTCACACACTTTCACTCACTCACTCACCCACCCACCCTCACCTTCACTCACACTCAGCTTCACTTCCATCAGCCTCACCTTCACTCACACACCTTCACTCACTCGCTCACCTTCACTCACTCACTCACCCACCCACCCTTACCTTCACTCACTCGCCTTCTCTAACTCACTCTCTCCTTCAATCACCCACCCTCATCTTCACTCACTCGTCTTCTCTAACTCACTCTCACCTTCAATCACTCGCCCTCATCCACACACCTTCACTCACTCACCCTCACCTTTTCTCACTCGCCCTCATCTTCACTCCCTCACTCACTCACCCTCATCTTCATTTACTCACTCGCCCTCATCTTCACTCACTCGCCTTCACTCACTCACTCACTCACTCGCTCGCTCACCTTCGCTCACTCACTCACTCACCTTCATTCACTCCCCCTTATCTTCACTCACTCTCATCCACACCTCCATTCACTCACCCTCGTCTTCACTCACTCACCTTCTCTAACTCACTCCCATCTTCACCCACTCACTCACCTTCACTCACTCATCTTTACTCCCACTCACTCACCCTCAGCTTTACTTACTCACTCACCCTCATCTTCACTCACCCTCATTCACTCACTCACTCACTCACCCTCATTCATTCACACACTTTCACTCACTCACTCACTCACACACCCACCCTCACCTTCACTCACACACTCACCCTCAGCTTCACTTCCATCAGCCTCACCTTCACTCACTCACCCACTCCCACCTTCACTCACACACCTTCACTCACTCGCTCACCTTCACTCACCCTCTCCTTCACTCACACACCTTCACTCACTCACTCACCTTCACTCACTCACTCTCACTCACCCTTACCTTCACTCACTCGCCTTCTCTAACTCACTCTCACCTTCGCTCACTCACTCGCTCACCTTCGCTCACTCACTCACTCACCTTCATTCACTCACCCTTACCTTCACTCCCCCTTATCTTCACTTACTCTCATCCACACCTCCATTCACTCACCCTCGTCTTCACTCACTCACCTTCTCTAACTCACTCCCATCTTCAGCCACTCACTCACCTTCACTCACTCGTCTTTACTCCCACTCACTCACCCTCAGCTTTACTTACTCACTCACCCTCAGTCTCATCTTCACTCACCCTCATTCACTCACTCACTCACCTTCAGTCACACACTTTCACTCACTCACTCACCCACCCTCACCCTTACCTTCACTCACACACTCACCCTCAGCTTCACTTCCATCAGCCTCACCTTCACTCACTCACCCACCTTCACTCACTCGCTCACCTTCACTCACCCTCTCCTTCACTCACACACCTTCACTCACTCGTTCACCTTCACTCAATCACTCTCACTCACCCTTCACTCACTCGCCTTCTCTAACTCACTCTCTCCTTGAATCACCCACCCTCATCTTCACTCACTCGTCTTCTCTAACTCACTCTCACCTTCAATCACTCACCCTCACCTTCAATCACTCACCCTCATCCACACACCTTCACTCACTCACCCTCACCTTTTCTCACTCGCCCTCATCTTCACTCCCTCACTCACTCACCCACCCTCACCTTCATTCATTCACTCACACTCACTCACCCTCACCCACCCTCACTCACCCTCACCCACCCTCACCTTCATTCACTCACCCTCATCTTCACTCACTGCCCTCATCTTCACTCACTCACCCACCCTCACCTTCAATCACTCACCCTCATCCACACACCGTCACTCACTCACCCACCATCACCTTCATTCACTCACTCACTCACCCTCACCCACCCTCACCTTCATTCACTTACCCTCACTCGCCCTCATCTTCACTCACTTGTCCTCATCTTCACTCACTCACCCACCCTCACCTTCATTCACTCACTCACTCACTCTCTCATGTTAATATCATCATGGCCATATATTTTCAGAATAAATCCACACAGTGAAAAGAAGATGTGGGAAACAAGTGGAATTACCTTTTTCCTGAACCATTCCAAAAAGCATTCCAACATTGTCACAAAACAACTGAAGATTAATGACAGGCCGTGTGTGGTTATGATTTCCAAATATTACATACCAGAAGGGGCAGAATTGTTATATAATTATGGTGATGAGAAAGCACCATTTTTTGCAAATTCACAAACTTTTCCAAATTAAAGTAATTTATGATCTATGTTCGAGTTGAGTTGTGTTGTGTTGTGTTGTGAACATGTAAAATAACAATAAAATTCAATATTTCCTTGACAAGAAATTAAAACACAGTGAACATGCTAAAAACATCAAAACATTAAAATTAAATGTCAGTTAAATTAAATAGTTTTACAGCATTCAAAAGTCAGGAAATACACAATTGAATATATGAAGTTTCACACGCAAGTGCCACATGACAGACTAATTGCTGAACATTTTCAAATC